GACGGCCCCCGCCCTCCCGCCCCGGGAAAGCCCCACCGCTGGGCAGACCAAAGCGGAATTTTTTTAAGCCCTTGAGTGATTTGGGAGCCCCAGTTCAACCCCTTTGCAGGAGCAAGGGCTCAGCTCCCCACGCCAGCCGGGAAAACCATCAGACCTGTGGGGGGCTCTGCTGGGTAGCCACACTCTCCAGGCCCAGCCTGGTTTCTATTGCTAGGGACGACATCTGGGGACGTCCCAGCGTCTGGGGACAGCGTCACAGCCCCCCGCCCCCCGTTTCCTGAAGCCAGGGGCAGGCGCGTGGCCCAGGGGACGTGGGCAGCACCAGGCCGCCGCAGTCCCACAGAGCAGCTGGTCACACGGGCACACCCGGCTGGGTTAACAGCACTAGCAGGGACCAGCCACGGGTTGTGCAGCCTCTGCCAGTGCCTTGGGTCTGTTCCCAGTGGCGCCCCCGCCGCTCGGAGAGCCGTGCCCACCGTGCAGCAGTCCCACCTCCGGCTGGCACGGAGACAAAGCCCCACGCGCAGCCGGGGGGCACCGGCCCCCCTCGCTTCCAGGGGGAATTCGACTCAAATCCCACAAGGCGCCAGTCGTCACCCCTCTCGGCCCGGCCCTGCGCTCGGAAGGGGTAACGGGGCCGCCTCAGCGAATGGAACGATCCCGCAGTGATGAGCTGGGTCGTTCCGTCTCTCGCGGGCTCGCTCGTCCCCACGCCACTCGCAGGACACCGCACAGGAGACACAAGCCCGGTTAAGGCCTCCCCTCCCCAGGCGGCTCAGGGCGTGAGCCTGGCCGCGGGACATACGGGGTCACCGTGTGGCTCAGGCTCTCGGCCCCCAGCCTGCGCCGACCCAGACTGCTCACAACGCCACGCGCCAGGGTCCCCGCACTGCCCAGTCATGGGGCCTCCTGGCGTGGAAGTGGTGGGAAGGATGCAAACGACAAACCCCAACCAGCGGGCTCCTCGGATGCCCGGCCCCACTGCAGCCCACACTGGGCCCTTGGGTCAGGGCCGGAGACTGGGCGCCCAAAATCTGGGACTTTCCCTGCGCTGCCAGGGAGGCTCGTGTGAGCTCGCGCTAGGCCCTCCGGC